CGAGTTGTGGGTATCGGGGATTGTGTATCAGCAACGAAAGTAGCGGGGAGGCAGCACATCAGCACCTGCAGGAAACAGAAACAAATCACCTGAGGCCACCAGAGTTCATCCCCAGGTGCCGACATCTACTGTGTGGCTGTGAGCAAGGCCTTTAATGTCACCGGACTGTTTTAACTTGTAAAATGGTAATATTAGCTTACAGGGTTGTAGTAAGCACAAAATCAGGTAATACATGAAAACCACTTAACTGCAAAAGATGTTCTTGTTCCAAGGGGCAAGTTTTAGAATATTTGTTAAACATATCTTATGGAGATAGGCCTTACTTCAAATGGAGTTTATGTTGGTTTGTAAAATGGCAGATGAATTCAAGGTACCACTTTAAAGCACCTGTTGACAAAGGATTATTTCTTCTTGGACATTTCTACTATCATTTGGCTCAGTGTGGTGGCAGATTTACCACATGTGAACCTGGAACCCACTCAGATCCCAAGGACCCAGGACAGACCCACGGTCTCTCCTGCACACACTGTGGAATACGTGACCACTCAAGTGTTGTCCGAAACTGAAGTTCTGCACACAGCATGGCTTCCACATTTAGACTTTTAATTTGGCTCGTTTTGTGCAAAGGTTGTACAAGGAAGCTTACTTATGGAGGAGGTAGATGTTATTTGAAGTTACGATGGCTACAGCCGTTTAGGTTTACCCAGAGGCAAAGAAACTGAGCAGCACTCAGAGAAACGGAGGGAAGAGAGCTTTATTATGCTGGTGGGCCCGAGGAGTTCAGCACTGCAGAGTCTGAGCCTGGGACGCGAGGGCTGTACTTTTGGCCTGTGACAGGGAAAGGCTAGCACGTAAGCTACAGAAGCAGAACAGAGGCAGCTCCTCACGGGCGAGCGGGTTTACATCTCTGCGTGTGTGGGTGGCCTGCGCAGGCCTGCAGCTCAGATCCCAGGAGGTGGTGAAGCCTCTTGCTCATCAGGTCGGGTGTAGCTGGTGGGGAAGAGGAGAAGCACCAGCAGGGGGCGCCAGAGCTGCGAAGTTTCCTTTTCCCCTGCATCTGCCCTGTCACAAGTGCAGATCTGTTTTTCCCAGGGCATCCTTTTAGAGCACTTGGAAATGGTTCTCATAGAAGATGACTTCTGCATAATAGTTCTGTTTTTAAGAGTGTATGTACATATTTACATCAGTGTTTTCCTTCATTCTCTAGAACTGGGTAGATAAAGCTGAAAATCAGACCCTTCTGACTGACACACTTGACCTATCAGAGCTCTTCCATCCAGATACGTTTCTTAATGCTCTTCGCCTGGAAACTGCAAGGTAATTAGATATGAAATATATATTTGCCCCCCAAGGTGATAATATTTTCCTTTTTTCACTTCTTGTCACAACATTTTGCTTCTCAAGAAAAATATTGTTGAACTCCAGTTATTTTATTCCCTAATATGTCACTTTTAACAGTGGTTAACTTTTTAAAAAGCACATTGCTTTTCATTATGTTAGAGCTGAAAAAAGACAAAATTTAACTTTTAAAATTTGGTCATGTATTTATCTAGGCCTCTGCATCTGATATGATAACCAGAGATCACTATTTAGGGTTTAATAAGATTAAAAATTCAACTTCTTAGGCACATTGTCCATGTTCAAAGGGCTCAAAATACACATGTGACCAATTTCACCTGGATGCCAGCATGTTTGTCTAGAAAATTCTGTGGGACGATAGTGACAAGGTTTCTTAGTAGAAAAAAGGACCTCATATTTAACATCAAGTTCCTTTTTTTATGCCAGCATTTGATCTCCATATCATAGTTAGGCAGTAATTTTTAACAAGTCAGAAGGTAATGAAAAAGTGCCAGATACATGCTGAACAAAAGTTAATTGGTTAGTGGCTCTGGAAATTTTAGTTCCTATTGTCTTGCTAACAAATATTTACTGAACACCTATTACATGCTGTGTTTGAGGGTCGTCAGCAAAGTGGTCGACAGGGAAATGAAAAAGATGCCCTGCTTGGGGCCGGCCAAATAGCTCAGCGGATTAAAGCACCTACAAGCAGGGGCCGGGGTGGCCTGCAATGCTGGCCCCACCCCCAGGACTTGCTGAGATGGCAGTTGAGACTGGGCGTGGAGGCATGTGCCTGTAATCCCAGCTTTTGGGAGGCTGTAAACAGGAGGATCACTACAAGTCCAACCTAGTAGTGAGACCCTGAACACCCTGTAGACCCTCCCCTAAAAATAGAAAAAAATAAAACAAAACAAAAAGATGTCCTTTTTTCATAAAGACTATCATATGAATAGTTAACTGTAAGGGCAGTGTAGAAGCAACATACGTGTAAGAGATCTTATTTACACATTACCAAAATTTCAGTTGAAACAATACACCTTCATCCTTTTTCCGTTATTATAATCCACACAGGGCTTTGTTTCTGGTTCTGGGGTTCAAGCTGGGGCTTCCCACGTGCTCAGGGCAGGTACCTCCTGGACCACCAAGCCGTACACCTGAGACACCAGAGAATTTTTGTGTCATTTTGTGACATTTATGAAACTTTGCTTTTACAGGGCAATGGGTCATTCTGTGGATAGCCTTAAATTTGTCGCCTCGTGGAAAGGTAGACTTCAAGAGGCAAAGCTGCAAATTAAGGTACTAATTTTAGATGTTCATCTGAGCTTAAAAATGTATTGCACCAAAATGGCAGATTCTAAAAAAGAATTGAATACACCTGTAATGGATTATGTGTTTTCCGTGGCAGGTCAGTGGCTTATTACTAGAAGGATGCAGTTTTGATGGTAACCGGCTTTCCGAAAATCACGATGACTCTCCTAGCGTGTCGTCGGTTCTCCCCTGTTTTATGGGCTGGATTCCACAGGTAGTGCATCATTAGCAGCACAATCTTTGATGCATCAGTTCACTGTTAAGCTTTCCATCTTCTCAGTAAGGTATATTCTTGGCCTGTCAATATTTTGTTTGCTTTCTAATATTACTGCATTTGAACAAATTTTCAGTCAAAGTATTTTCCTTATTTTTTTAATGTACAGGGTGTTTTAAAAATGTTTTGAAAAGAGAAACAACATTAATTTCTAAAGAATGTATAACCTGGGCCGGGGAGATAGGTTGGTGGTCTAAGTCACAGTCTGGCAAGCATGAGGACCCAGGTTCGATCCCCAGAACCACATACTGTGCCAGCCCAACACTGAGCCAGCCACCAAAACTGGGCATGGTGGTGCACTCCTGTAATCCTAGCACTGGGGAGGCTGAGACAGGAGGCTCACTATGAGTGCAAGCAAGACCCTGTACCAAAGAAAAAAAGCAAGTATAACCTTATCAAGAAGAAGTCTGGCGATGAGGCTAATTGGGTGTTTTCAGCAGTGTACGAGGTGCTGTATGTGCTCCGTGTGCTTATCAGAGCAGCTGTGCAAAGCAGATATTGTCACTTTCAGATAAGTGACTGTGTGTCCGGCCAGTTAGGAGACTTCCCAGAGGCCCACAGGAGTAATGGAACCAGTGAACTGCTGGCCCAGAGTGGCCCAGACTCGCTGTGTAGAGGAGACAGGAGGGAACGTGGGTGAAGTGCTTTGCCAGACAACTTGAGAAAATGGCAGGATGAAAGAGCCAAGTGCAATCTCAGGCCCCAAGGTCACCCAAAACAAACACAGGAGGCATCAGCATAGAAGAAATTGTAAGTCATGCACACGAAATCTCTGAAATGATAGCGACTGAAGTAAAGAAACAACTCCAGATGGGCATAGAGGAGGTCAAATTAGAAATAATACCTCAGGTAAACAGAAGAAACGATAAATATAATGAAAGAATTGCTGGGTATAGAGGAGGTCAAATTAGAAATAATATCTCAGGTAAATAGAAGAAACGATAAATATAATGAAAGAATTGCTGAGCATATCTCAAGATATTGATAAAATAGAAGAACATAGAAAAATGATGGAAACCTTCAATGAGCAAGATAGGAAAGGAACAATGCATGAAATGGATTCAAAGAGAGATCCAGAAAATTAAAAAATGTGTTAAAAACTAGCAAAACCATTTGAATAAAACTGAAGCTAGACATTTAAGACCTTGAAGACATCATTGCAGTTTCCAAGAAAGGAAAGATCTCTTAAAAATAAGGAACTAGGAAATAGTCCAACAGCTACAAAACAGTATGAAGACACACAGCATAAGACTAATAGGTGTCAGTGACAAAGGAGTCAACACAAATGACATAAAATATTTGCAAAAGTAATAGCAGAAAACTTTCCATAGACAAAGATTATGATATACAGTAAGTGAGGCATATAGAACTCCAAATGGCATCAACCAAAATAGATCTACACACAGACATATAATAATCAATGTCCCAGAAATTCAGCACAAGAACATAGTAAAAGGTATTAAAGAAACAGATCACACTTAAAGGAAATCCCATCAGTATCATAGCAGATTTCTCAGCACAAACCATAAAATACTTCATGCTCTTCTTGATTTGAAGTCGTAAAAGAAAACAACTTCCAGCCCAGATTGATAATATGATGTAAAACTCTTTGCAAATTAGAGGAAAAGTAAAATACTTCCATGACAAAGAATAACTAAAGAAATTCATAACCACCAAACCAACCCTACAAAAAGTACTGAGGGATATTCTACAAAGAGATCAAAATGACCACAATTCCAAGAACAGCAATGGAAAGAAACCACCAAAGAGGACAAGCAATTAAAAACAGGAGAAGTAGGGAACCAAGAGTAGGAAAAAAAAAAAAAAAAAAGATAAGCCAGTGTATATCAGTTATAACTACCAATTTAAATGGCCTCCGTTCACCAATTAAAAGAAACAAAGTGTCAGAGTGGATCAAGAAACAAAATCCAATAGCTCAGTTGATTAAAACACCTGCTTGGGCAAACACAGGGGCCAGGAGTTTGATTCCAAGGCCTGCCGTGCCAGCCCCGCCCCCGGGGCACCCTGAGATGGTGATCGAGACTGGGCGTGGTGGCACTCGCCTGTAATCCCAGTACTTGGGAGGCTGTAAATAGGAGGATCACTATGAGTCCAACTTATGCAGTGAGACCCTGTACACCCTGTCCTAAATAAAAAAAAAAAATCCTATATGCAGGAAACACATTTAACGCAAAAGGAAATTCATAGGTTGAAAGTCAAAGGATGGAAAACAGTACTCTATGCACTAGGAGCTGAGGAAAAAGCAAGGGTAGTTATGCTGGTTGCAGACAATGTGAGCTTCAAACCAAGAATGATTAAACAAGATAAAGTCACTACATACTAGTTAGGGGAAAACGTCAAGAGGAAGAGATAATCATAAAGATGTATGTACTAAATATGAGACTACCCAACTTTATAAGACCAATTTTAAAGACATGAAAAGTCTAATTACCAATAACACTGTCTTCCTGGGAGATCTTATCTCAAAGAGATAGGTCAACTAAACAAAAATATTAGCATAGAGGCAGCACTTTGAACAAATGAAGTTGGTGGACATTTACAGAGTGCTTCACCCAGCATCTGAATACACATTATTTTCAGCTGCACATGAGACATTCTCTGAAATAGATCACATACTAGTCTATAGATCACGCTTAAGAAAATGCAAGAAAACTGACATTCTCCCATGCATATTATCTGACCACCGTGCAATGAAACTGGAACTTAATGACAACCTGCCCCCCACATAAACACATAGAAATTAACACTATCCTCAGCAACTAAAAGGTTACAGATGAAATTTAAAAAATTTACTACCCAATGAAAATTTAAACACAACTCAGCAGAATTTGCGGAATACAATAAAAGCAATTTTCATAAGGAAAATTTTAGTGGTGAGCTCACACATTAGGAAAACAGACAGAGAATAATTACCTTAATCTTGTTCCTGAAGCTTCTCAAAAAAGAAGAGCAAACCAAGCCCAAAACCCAAACATGGGAAGAAATTATAAAGATTAGAGCACAAATTAATGCAGTTGACACACATAATACACATAATAATAATAATAATAATAATGGCTGGAGAGATAGCAGTTTATGCACCTGCCTAGCAAGTGCAAGGATCCGAGTTTGGTCCCCAGTACTTCATGCTGTGCTGGCCCTTGAACCCAGGGCACACGATGTCAACCACCAAAACTGGGCATGGTGACACATACCTGTAATCGCAGCACTGGGGAAGCTAAGACAGGAGGATCACTATGAGTCTGAACTGCACTAGACCCTGTATCCAATAAATTTTTAAAATAAGCCAAGTTGGTTCTTTGAAAGATTAAGTAAAACTGATAAACCACTAGCTGAACTCATCAAAAAGAGGAAAGACACAAATTCCAACAATAGGGAATGAAAAGGGTGAAATAACTACAGATCCTGTGAAAATTTAGAAGATCACCAAGAGCTATTTTGAAAATCTTTGCTTTCATAGAATCACAAAGAGAACAGATACCTAGATAAGTATAAATTTACCAAAACTGAATACAAAAAAATATAAAAACTCTAAATAACCCAATATTAGCCAATGAAATTGAAATTGTAATAAAAAGCTCAGATACTGATGGATTCACAGTTCAATTCTATAAGAAATTTGGAGAAGATTTGCTCCCAATACTCCTCAAACTCATTAATGAAATTGAAAAGGAAGCAGTACTCCCTAATACATTTCCGGAGGCAAGTGTTACAGTGATACCAAAACCAGAGAAAGACACAACCAAAAGAGAATTGCAGGCCAATCTCCCTCATGAACATAAGCATAAAAATCCTCAATAAAATACTAGCAAATAGAATGTAGCAAATCATCAGGAAGATTATACACCATTGCCAGGTAAGGGATTCATACCAAGATGCAGGGATGGCTCAATATACACATCTATAAACGTAATGTATCAACAAAGCTGTATTGGTCAGGGTTTTCTATAGAGGAACAGATATTAACACATGATATACAATGTATAAGGAATTACAAGTTTGGCTTACGACAGTCAGCCGCAGAGTCAGATGAGGGAGCGTGCAGAGGGCGTCTGCACGCCCCAGACGTAGAATTCAGTCCCAAGGTCTGAAGCTCACTGCTATGCTCTGTGCAAGTCTCTATTCATCAGGTAATGGGTCTGCAACAGAAGACTGAAGAGTCTGTGATGGCCACTGAAGAGTCTGTGACAGAAGGTGAAGGATCCAAGCCGGAGGCCGAAGAGTGTATGCTGCAAGCCAGCCAATGAAGTCCAAGCCAAATGCAAAGACTGAAGTTCCCCTGATGAAGTGGAACATTGACTGCTTCCTCAGCCCCTTTATATGGTCTGTTTGTGCTGAGTCACTCTGGGGGCAGAACCAACTGTGCCGCAGGGAAGGACCCTCACTGGCCAGAACTGTGCCACGGAGTCACCTGGCCAGGTTGATGTCAACCACTACAAAAGCTAAAAACAAAAGCCACTTGATCATCCCAGTAAGACAAAGCAAAAGCTTTAGACGAAGTCCAACACTCAATATTCCTACAGAATATTGGAATAGATGGTCTGTACCTCAGTCTCTAACAAAGCAACAGCCAGCACCATTCTAAGTGGAGGAAAAACTGATTTTACAGTAAAATCAGGTACAACACAAGGATGTTCACTGTCACTACTTCTATTTAACACAGTTCTAGAATGATAAGCCAGAGCCATAAGAAAAAAGACAGAAATAAAGGAATTGGAATTGGAAAAAAAGAAGTTAAATTACCATTATTTGCAGATAACATAATACTGTACATGAAGATCCAAAAAAATTCCACCAAAAAACCCTAGAATAAGCAAATTCAGTAGCATAGGAGGATACAAAGTCAACACCCAAAATTAATAGCATTCCTTGACCCAGACAACAAGCTTACTGAGAAATTAGAGAAATTTCTTCACAAT